ATGAAGATAGACATAGTGAGTTAGGCAATTGGTTGTTTATGGGTGTGAGGGAAGGGAAGAGTCTAAGATGACTCTGAGATTGTGAACCTGAGTTAACTAGGAGGACTTCAAAAGAAATAGAGAAATTAGAAGGAGGGACTGGTCTTGGGGGGAAAGAGGAGCCATGAGTTCCATTTTGGACATGCTGAGTTTTAGGTGCTGCAGGGATATTCAGTAGAGTTGTCCAGTAGGAAGTTGGCCATATAGATTTGGAGTATGTGAGAAGGATTAAAACTGAACATAGACTTAGCCTGCATATAGATGATATAGGAATCATGGGAGTAAGTCTAGGCAGAGAGTGTAGAGAGAGAAAAGATTACCTAGGACTGATTTTTGTAGAATATCCATGTTCAGAGGGCAGAAGCTAAATAATGATCCAGCAGAGGAGACTAAAAAGGAGTCATCAGATAGATAGGGTAAGAAGCATGAGAGAGAGTGCAGAGCCATGAAAGCCAGGGGAAAGAGTAAGGAGAAGATGACTAACAGTGTCAAAACCTACCAAGAAGTCAAGGACAACAAAAATTGGAAAAAGAAAAAAAAACACTGAATTTAGCAGGAACTAAATTGGTAACTTTTGAGGAAAAAAAATTTGTTTTACTAAAATAGTAGGGTGAAAAAACCAGATTGTACAAAGTTAATTAAATGTTTAATTGGTAAAGACATAGAAGCAGAAAGCTTAGTCAACTTTTTCTTAGAGTTCAGTAGTAAAGATGTTTAGGATAACAGGTTGAGGGAATGGCAGAATCAAGCAACATTTTTTAAAGCATGACCTGGGTATATTTTTAAGCACTAGGGAAGGACCCTCTAGATCAGTGTCCTCAAAATTGGTCTGGGGACCCCTGGGATTTCCCAAGACACTTTAAGGGTTTCTGCAGGGTCAAAATTATTTTCGTAACAATACTACGATGTTTTAATGTATATGTCAATGGATATTAGCCAGATGAACAAAAGCTCCTTGTTGGGCTAGGGCTGGTGAAGTGGATCCTCAATAGTTTTTTTTCCCCCTGGTGAGGGCAATTGGGGTGAAGTGACTTGCCCAGGGTCACACAGCTGGTGTCAAGTATCTGTTTCCCTAGTTCTGTTCATTTTACATTACAATTCATACAAGTCTTCCCAGTTCTCTCTGAAACTAACCCGTTCTTCATTTTTTATGGCAGAAAAGTATTTCATTACATTCACATACCAAAATTTATTTAGCCATCCCCCAATCAAAAGGCACCCTTTAGTTCCTTGCTATCACAAAGAGAGGTTAAAACCATACATGGGTTGCTTGACGTCTCTAAAGGAATTTCATACTGCAAAATCCTATATCCTGTAAACCATATCTAAATCTGCCACTGAGTTTGGCTCAACAATCAGACACCACTTAATTTCTTTGCCTGTCTTCCTTTCCTCCTGTTCCCCTAAAACAGTACTGACTGCTCCATTGATCACTGCATAAATTCTCCAATAAGGTGCTCTGTGAAACATGTCTAATCCTTTGATAGCATCCCACCTTTAAAGAATGGTTGAGGCGTTGTTGTGAAGATGGTTTGCACGTTGTTGATGTGGACATAGATACATAATTCTATCCCACTCTGATGTTCAGTGGCTCTATTAGCCAAACACAAACTCCAGGAGGTCCTGCTAAGTTGGAAAGGCTTCAAGCATGGGTCTGGTGATGGACAGTATGTTTGTTGGCCATCAATGAACTTGGTTAAGCTGGGAAGGATTCTGACTACCAGGTTGTTCATAGGGGGATGAATTATTTTTTGGACATAGCAATTCTTAAATATCATCCATTAAGTAAAAGCACTAGGTCCTTCCCTAGTGCTTAAAAAAACTAAAATATCATCTATATTAATTGACAAAGAAACCAAAAGCTCTTGTACTATTGAAGTATCTCTCCATCTTATGTAATAGCATTATAGGATGCTTTAATGTCGGCAATTCACTTTACAAATATTATGTAATTTATACTTAGAATAATCCTAGGATTTAGGTGCTGTTATTATCCCCATTTTATAGATCAGGAAACTGAGGCAAATAGAAAATAAGTGACTTTCCCAGGGTTACATACACGAGCCAGGATTTGAAATCAAATCTTTCTGACTTCATGTCCAATTCTTTATCCACTGTGCTACCTAACTGGTTGAATGAGGGGAAGCAGATGGAAAGCAGGATAGGTAGGTGGCGCAGGGGGTTGAGTGCCAGGCCTAGAGTCAGGAAGACTCATCTTCTTGAGTACAGATGTGGCCTCAGACATTTACTAGTTGTGTGACCCTGAGCAAGTCACTTAACTCTGTTTGCCTCAGTTTCCTCATTTGTAAAAAGGGAATGGAAAAACCACTCCAGTATTTTTGCCAAGAATACTCAAAAAGGGGTCACAAAGAGTCCCAACTGAAATCCAACTGAATGACAGCAACCACAACAACAGCAACAACTAAGACAGAGATCTGGCTTTAGAGTCAAGAAGGCTTGGGTTCAGGTCCTGTCTCTGACATGTTCTAGCTTTATGACCACTGGCAAGTCACTCAATGTGGCCCCTTCCTACCTTTCTAGCCTTCTTTCACCTTAAATCTCCTCCATACTCCATCATCCAGGTACACTGATCTACTTGTAATTCCTCTAATGTGACATCCATATTCCATCTTCTATCTCAGTTCTTTTGCACTGCTGTTGTTTCTGTCTCTGCTGTATACACTCTTTTCTGCTTTTTGTGAAGGAGATTGGAAATGGCTATGACCTTGTGAGATTTAAAAGGTCAGAAGCTTGAGCCACAGAAAGCCAGAAAGCAGAGGCCATTCTGGAATGCACTGGAAGTCAGATGGTGAGGAACAAAGTGACCTGTATGGTCCATTTCAGCAGTAACAGAGATACAGGCTCATCAGTCCATCCATCAGTCATGTCATTTTGGAAGTGAACCTGTTGAGGTACACTGAATTGTCTCAGATCATTCTTCTCACGGAATAGGTGGCATAGGGGGAAAATGTGCCCTGTGTGGTGGTGGAGTAAATGTTTGTATGTCTATTCTGCTATATCTTTGAAGAAAATATCTCTTTGTATAAGTTAATTGACATTAACTAGTTCAGTGAAACTGAGGTGGCTAGCAGACCATTGGGTGAGAAATATACCAGAATTCAGCTGACAACATTAGGAAAGCTTTACTTGACTCTCATGGAAAATCCTTAGAAAGCTGAATGGAAGATACAGCTGGCCTAGATCTGGGAGAGTATCCCACAGTATCACTACATATATCTTATATATGCTTAGTTATGTACATGCTTCGCCCCCTTCAGAATTTTCAGCTGCTTGAGAGCAGAGAATGATTTTACCTTTATTTGTATCCCCATTACTTGGTACAATATAGTAACCACTTTATAAATTCTTGACTACAGCTGACTGATTTAACTTCTCAGGGCCTCAGGAAACGCTCTAAGGGTTATGAGGTGTTTGTTTGGGGGGTTTTGGTAACTCATCTTCTGCGCATTAAATTTTTTTTTCAGTTGACAAACATTTAGTTTTTCTCTATTCCATCTTTCCCATTTCCTCATTGGAAAAGAAAGGGAAAAAAAACTTATAAGAAATATTCACAGTCACATAAAATCAATTCCCAAATTGGCAATGTCCAAAAATGTATGCCTCATTCTGTGTCTTCTTTGTTAGGTAAGCATGTACTACATTAGTACAATGAACTTGTCTTTCAAAGTTCTTTGTTAAAGAGTAGAAGTTTCTGAGCAGTTGTATTGATAAAGGGAGTTCCTTTGACCAATGAAATCACACCTCTGGACCACAGCAGCAAAAGAAACAGCCACAACAATAACCACAAATATTTCCCACAGCAGTTCGATTTAAAAATACCAGTTGGACCACATTCCATTTAAACAATTACTCCTTCCCATTGGCTACTTTTCCCTTCCTAATGATACCCGCATTGATACTCAGTCTTCTACCTTCAAATCAAAGGAATTATTATGTAACTACATGCAGTAGGGCATAAGAGGCATTGCACATTGTTTTGATTCAAAGGCAGAGTTTGTCTAATCATTGAGACAGCTTTACTCAATAAGTAGCTCCAGGAAGACACACTTCCTGAAAGTTGTCAGGCTTCCAGTCACTATTATGATGAAACCTAGCTGCTGATTGCTTCATCCTTGCAAAAAGGAACAAGTTCTCCAGCTGTTTGAAAATGACATCTGTTGGCTCATGTCTGCTTATTTACATTGAAACAGAGAATTGAGCATTTTTCCAATAAATCAAATCCCAGTGATTCCTAACCATTTTAAACCCTATCGTTTGACTCAGTGGCATTCTCTACTAGTCCCCCACCCTAATTCTTTCATAGCTTTAAAGCTGTAGATGACATATTTATTGTTGAAGGTGCCCTCTAAGTTAATCTAGTACAACTTTCATTTTATGGATGTGGAAACTGAGGTCCATGGGGTCAAGTAAGTCACCCAAGTTTACACTGATGCTAATATGATGTATACTTTAAAAAAAAATAATTCAAATGAATTAAAATTAGCCTGTGGATTTAGGAGAGAATTTCACTTAAGTTCTTTGAGATGACTGGAGATGCTCTGTGATTTTAGAAAGCCAATATTAGGAATCACTGGAGTAGAAAGTCAATCTGGAAAACCCAAAATATTTCTTTAAAAAATATTTTGCCTGAATAGTATTTTAAAGGATCTTATATCCCCCCCCTCATATCCTTCATTTTTCCATCTTAGTTTCTTTGTGTAGCTTTACAGTTTCTAGGTTAATTATAGTCTAGCATATCAACCTTTTCCCTCTTTTCTTTTTTTTCTTTCTTTCTTTTTTTTTTTTGCTTTTAGGCAATTGGGGTTAAGTGACTTGCCCAGGGTCACACAGCTAGTAAGTGTCAAGTGTCTGGTCTGAGGCCAGATTTGAAGTCAGGTACTCCTGACTTTAGGGCTGGTGCTCTATCCGCTGCGCCACCTAGCTGCCCCTCTTTTCCCTCTTTTCTGGTGGGGACTGGAACACGCATTGTAATTGGTGTATGACCCATTGAGCATGAACAGATCTGCCCTGTCTGCTTCTGGTACACCACATATATTGTTACAACACTGAAATGCAGATCCGATTTGATCAAATGAGGATGAAGTGAGATAATATTTGTAAAGCCCTTAGTATAGGGCTGAGGGCAGAGTAGTTGGATAATAAGTACTGTTCTGTCCCCAACCCCACCCCTCTTCCTCTGAAAAAGAGATAAGTGCTTTGGAATGATGAAACAGTCCTTCTGTTGCTACTGAGTTGCAAAAGTAGCTGACTACTGCCTTCAAAAAAGAGCAACCCTGACCATGGTCTCCTTTCTCTTTCTGCATGCAAATCATGTAAGGACAATCAGAAACTTTAGTTTAAAGAGTAAGAGATAAGTGAGTTGAACAGAGCCTAGGCCTTAGAGTTCCTGGCTGCTGTTTTGTTTGTTTGTTTGTTTGTTTTTGTTTTAGCTTTGTGTTTCTATCCAAACAGCGATGCTGAGATGGAACCAGCCTTGGAAGAAGTCTTGTAAATTTGATAAGTCTCAAAATCTTGTGTCCCCTGATTGGTGTTCACTGAGAATTTCTACATTGGATAAGATGACTATCTACAAAGTAAAGAACCCTGGCTGGGTTTGTCAGAAGATATGGACCTGGTGGGAATTATTTAGATGGTATGAAGAAATACAAAATACCTGCAAACTGCATCATATTTTGAAGTTTTAAGCATCAACCTTTCAGAAGAATGTAAGTTTCTGTATCCTATTTTGAGTATTACTGTCAGAGCATGTTTATATTTGTTGAGTATTCCTTTTGCACAAAGGAAATAAATAGCTGTTCAATAACTGATTCATATCGTGCATTAAGTATCTTTCTAATCTCCCTTTGGAAAGAACTCAGGCTCCCCAAAGGCTGAACTCAGTCATCATATTCATGAGTCCAGGCCAGAGAAATAATCTTAGTGGAGAAGAGGAGTTATGCCCTAGTCCCTGGCCCCAAGAGTGGTTCAAATTGTCAGACTTGTAAAATGGAGCCTGTTACTGAATTGGTAACTGACTGGCAGAAAAAATTATGGCTCAATAATTATTTTAAGCAAAGGCCTAATTCTCAGGAAAAAAAAATAAAGCTGACTTTTCAGAAAAGCAACCTTTGACTTCATGTCTTGTGTTGTTTTCATATTCAAACCTGAATTCCAATCCTGACTCTGGTAATGTATCCAGACCATAGGTCTGGAGTTAGAAGGGACCTACGAGGTCATCTGGGTCAACTTCCTCCTTTTACAAATGAGGAAACCTAGGCCCAGGAGGTTAAGCAACTTTTCTAAGGTCAAGCAGATGATAAACATCAAAGGCAAGATCTGACCAGCAGTCCTGTAGAGCACTAGAAAAATACTTTTTTGCAATGTACTGTTTGTGAAATTAGACTAGTTTATTCAAGGGGTGGTGGTGGCTCACTTTATCATCTATAAAATGGGAGGAATGACTAGATGATTTCTAAAGTTCCTTCCTGTTTTCAAATTGAACATGATTGTGTAGCTAGGTGATGCAGTCGATAGAGCACTGGGCTAGGACTGAGGAAGACATCTTTCTGAGTTCAAATCTGGCCTCAGATATTTACTAGCTGTATGATCCTGGGCAAGTCACTGTGTGGGACAGTGACCCCAACCCAAATTAAACTCAGAGACTTCTCAAAGTGGAAAGCAAAGGTTACCTTTATTACAATCTTGCCGAGATGGCTATCTGCTCCTCCGAGAGAGACACGCCTAACAGGGGCCGCCTTATAAAAGCAAATCTCCGCCCACCATGAAAACAAGTCTCCACCCACCACTATCCCTTACCCCCTTAACTGGGGGTGGGCTTACATTCTAACTTTACATTCTAACTGGGAGGTGGGGCTTACATTCCAGGCCTGAAATTCAAAGCCAAGGACAAACGGCTCAGGTTGGGGGTGGGGCAGGGCTTATTCTTTCTGTTAAGTGCTTAAAAACAGAGTCTGAGTGGGGGAGGATTTTGAAAGTGGTAATCAAGAATTATTTGACCCTTTGAAGAGCCTTCACTTCTGAGAGTTCATTTCTCACACTACCTTCTGAACTCATTACCTTAATTACACTGAGAAGTCTTCACTGGGACATCCCATTCATCACTTAACCCTGTTTGCCTCAGTTTCTGTAAAATGAACTGGAGATGAAAAGGGCAAATCACTTCAGTATTTTTGCCAAAAAAACAAACAAACAAACCCAAATGGGGTCATGAAGAGTCGAGCAGTAAAAAAAATGACCGAATAATGCAAAAATATAGCGTAATAATTGGCCTTCCAAAGAAAAAAGAGCAACATTGACCTACTGTATAGAGTTGTACTGAAGTAAAAAATGACTATGAAATATTTTGCAAATACAAATATCTCATCAGAATAAAATAAAGAAAAAAGTTGGGAACATAAAGGAAAAAGTTTTCACATAGAACTATCATCTCACTTGAATCATCCTTCTGTTTTGAGTCTGCGTGTTGGAAAATAATGTTCTAGGTTTGTTTTTTTTCTTAAAGGGGAGGAGGGGCCAAGGATTGTGTTTCAATCAATATGAGAAACTCCCGATGTAGACCCTCCTCCCAGCAAAGCAGACTGACAACTTCCTGGTAATTTATAGCTAGTTGCTCAGTGCTCTAAGAGATTAATTTCCTCAGGATTACCTAGTTTAATATGAGTTAGAGGCAGACCTAGGCAGAGCTTCTTGATTCCAAGTTTAGCCCTCTACCCATTCCACCATTCCACATTGCCTCTCTTAGTCTTATGGGGTGTGTGTGTGTGCGTAGGATACAAAGAATCATAAAGATATCATCCCTGCCCTTAAAAGACCTTACAATATGTGGGATATATGGATGTTGCTTCTTCATATCACTCAGAGATTGGAGTCAGAGAAAGAGTTTTTCCACAAAAAGTCTAGTGGAAAGGAATGCAGTCTGGGAGTAGGTGGAAGTTGAACAAAGGGAGATAAATTTGAATAAGAAAACACTCTTGGTGGTGAATAAGACTAACCAGTGGAAAGCCAGTTCTGAGGTTAAGGTATTGATTAACATAAAAAGGGGTGTGCCCAAGGAACCGGGTCACCCAGTTGTGGGGAGTGTAGACTCACAGGGGGAAATTAGGTGCTTCCGATAGGCTGTAATCTGTATAGTACCTAAATTATGGGGAAACAGGGGAAGGAAATTGGAATAGGGAATAGGGAATAAAAAAGGTGTACATTTGTAGATACATGTGCTCTCACACAGACAGGAAGCCCGCCCTTCCCAGATCGTTAATAAAGCTTCTTCTTGATTCAACAATGGCTTCATGGAATTAATGATATTGATTAAGACACAAATATAGTTAGGAATACAAGGAAAATGCACAAAAAGTCAAATACAGTTGCAGTATTTGAATGAACATTTCAAGACAACAAGACTGTCAGGCACTTAAATGCCTAATGAAAAATAATGAACAATAGATTTAAGAGTTCAAAGCAGGAAATGATCAATTCAGGCCTTATAGAAAAAGTGGAATGAGATGGTCCTTGAAATTGAAATTTGGGGGGCAGCTAGGTGGCGCAGTGGATAGAGCACCGGCTCTGGATTCAGGAGGACCTGCATTCAAATCTAACCTCAGACACATAACACTTACTAGCTGTGTGACCCTGGGCTAGTCACTTAACCCCATTGCCTAGTCAAACAAACAAACAAAAAAACCCCCCACAAAACGAAATTGAAATTTGGGGCTAATCAAAGTTTAGCAAAAACTCCTATATCAAACTTTATTAATGAAAATCTTTCTGCAATGTGTTAATAGAGTTTCCCACTTTAGCAAAAGAACAGATAAGGGCATGGCAAAGCATTATGAACTAAGACACTAAGGCCTTGTTCCAGAGGATTGATAAGCCAGTTTACCTGGAGGAATCATGGAGTAGAATAGAATCATAGAATGACGAGCTAGGAGGACCTGGAGATTCTCAAGCCTGGCCTCCTCATTTCACAGACCAGGAAACAGCCTCAAAGAGGCCAAGTTATTTGATCATAATTACAGAACTATTAAATGCCAGATCTGGGGCTCAAACTTAGGTCTTCTGTGCTCCCAATTCAATGGCTTTTTCAGTATATACTTCTGTTCAAGGAAGGAATTAGAGCATAGCTGAGATGGATGCCTGCAGGATAGAAATCTTCCATGTTTTCTGATCCAGGGGCCATTGGATCTGTGACTGCTCTGGGGAAATAAAAGTAGTTAGCATTATCTAAGGGCTTTAAGATTTGCAAAGCATTTTATGTATTCTCATTTGATTCAGCAACCCTTTTAGGTAGGTGCTATTATTATCCCCATTTTGTAAATGGGGAAGAATAGGCTGAGAGACTCTTTTCAGGGTCAGGTGGTATCTGAGGCAGGATTCAAACACAGGTCTCTCTGACTGCAAATTCAACATTCTATCCACTGGACTGGCTTTGTGCCACTTAGTAAGCCCCTTCTGTCATTGCCCTGAAGGAGGGGGAGAGCTGAAATCTTAGAAGAGGCAAGAAGTGTGCAAGGGTTCGACCAAGTATTGAGAGGGCTACAGAATTGGAGGACCTTGAGAGGACCACGGCAATGAACAAGAGAGATCGCAGTCAAAGGCCTTGGAGGCAAAGGCTGATCTTGCTGGTGACTAAATCCTCCCTTGCCCAAGTGGTTTCAACGAAGAGATCTGGATGTCCTCCAAGGGAATGAAGCAGAGCAGGAAGGAGCTCCTGGGGCAAGGAAAGGGAAGGGCCAGATATTCCTCTCTCCTCCCTGCCCCCAACATCCATCACTGGTGTGGCTGTTGCTGCGGATGCCTCTATCTCTGACAGGGGTGAGATACTTCAAAACGACTGTAGTAGGAAGATATAAGACCACAACAAAAGTACTGCAGCTGTCCTTCCTTGTGAAGAACGATGGTGTTGACACTCTTCTTCTTCCTGTTCCCTAGGAGAGCAAGCTTATATTCCAAAGCTCTCTGATGAGAGGTGATAAGGGCTTAAATTAGGGTGAGTAAAAAAAGTGTGGGGGAGGTGGACTGAGATATCATAGAGCCAGAAACAAGATATGGATAGAGTGAAGAGCAACTGAATGGATAGGTGGGAAGACATAAAGGAGTCAAGAATAATAGAAGACCATGAAACGAGAGAATGATGAGACACTTAGCAGAAACAGGAAGTTCAGAAGAGAGATGGATGTTGACAGGAGAGGCAATGAATTGTGTTGCAGGCCTGTTGAGCTTGAGATGCTCATGAGAAATATAGGGTGAAGTGGTCAATAGGCATTTAGTGACTAGCCACTGGATCTCAGGAGAGAGAAATGGTGATTTCAACAAGTTTGTGAGACAACCCGCTTAACTACAATTATTACCATTTTAGAAATAAGAAAACCAAGATTGGAAAAGGTGAAGCTCTGAATCCGGATTTTTCTGATTCCTAGTTCTGTCTACTCTTTCCACTGCATCATAAATGCTAAGTTAAAACATTTAGAAAGAGTGATGCAAGTTATTGCTCTCTGTGCTTAGCAAGGTAATTGGGACATAGTAAGGGCTTAATAACTGCTTTTTAAATTATTCATTCAAAGAGAAGTACCTTCTGCTTAATGAGAGTAAAAGGGGAATACCAAATGAAGCAGGAAGGAAAGGAAGAGTTTGCAAGTTTGTTTTGCTGACAGTAGCAAATGCCTTGCTTTGCTGGCCAAGTCCAAAAGTTCCAGTAGGAAGGACACTTGTCTGAGGGAGGAAGAGAAGAAAGAGAAAGGGAAAAGGAAAGAAGGAATAGAAACTGGGAAAGAAGGTAAAAAAAAGTTGTAAGAACACAAAGCCTCTTCCTTCTAAGCAGTTAGTTACTGCTTGAATCAGCTAACGAAGCTATTTACACAAGGTCGGCTTAGCAGCAGCACCGAGAGACATTTTTCCCCCTTTCCTGCCCCACTGCAGAGAAGTGACTTTCGCATCAGGGAACTCTTCCATGGAGTCCTCCAACCTAGTACTGCAGGGACTGATGCTCTTCCTGTTACTGTTTCTGATGGGACAAGCTAATGTGTATACCAGGGCAGGAAAAAAACGATGGAGTGGGGAAGGCACTAGCCCCCACCTGGAAAGTATCTTCCTGGGCAGATGCAATGAGTATATCTCCGTGGTGAACCCAGAACTCAGGTAAGTCGTAAGGAGTGTCTCCTTCAGATAAAAGTTAAGTATTTCCTTGTGGAGTAGGGAGGGACATTTGTCTGACTGGGGAAGAGGTGGAGGAGCTGAGAGCCTAGGTCTCCTGGTCTGCCCTACTCTCCTGTTTTCAAAATTCCTCTGACTCTCTGCCTTTCTTTTTTCTTCTCTTTTTATTTTATAACTCCAAGGCAGAACTACTATCTCAGGAACCTTGGGACAAGAGGCTTTCTCATTTAAAGCAATATGAAAATGGATTTCAAGTAATAATATCAACCATAGAACACTTGACAATTTACAAAGGATTTTTATATATCATATGTTTAGGTAGATCCTATAGTTCAAAAGGTTTCTAGGTGCCCCTTTGGCAAAGACAGCATATTGTGGATGACTTCTGCAAATTAGCCTAGCTAAATGCAGAGGTTTTTTCACCAGGGTTGGGTTGACTATCAGGCAATTTTCTCTGTCCATAGAAACTCATGGAGACTGTACCTCAAGGCTTGGTCCTTCTCTTTTTGAATCCTGTACAAGCTTAGTCATCTCTTCTGTTTTCATGTGTTCAATTATTATCTTTATGCAGGTTCCTATATCTATATATCTAGCCTTAGTTCTTTTCCTTAACTCCAGTTTCGTATCACCTGTCTCTTGGAAATCTCAAACAATAGGAGCTATAGGCATTTCTAACCTATAGATGCTATCTCCAACCTATAGGTACCATAGGCACCTCCAAACTAGAGGCACTATAGGTACATATAGGTATTATAGTATATACTATATATGGTATATAGGTACTATAGTTATATAGATACTATAGGCATGAAGGTACATATGGACACTATAGACATCTCCAAATTATAGGTATTATAGGCATATAGGTACTTATAGGTACTGTAGCGTACATAGCATATGTGCTATATGTAGTACTGCATATAGTACACCATAGGCATATAGGTGCATATAGGTACTATAGGCATCTCCAGAACAGAACTCATTATCTTCCCCCAAAAAACCTTGCCCTTTTCCAAAATTTTCCTATTACTGTTGAGGGTGTTGAAAGTGGATTTTTGGGAAACCAAAACTGATTCCATTTTGTCCTATATTTGCTATTGTATTCCTTGCCCTTTCTGGATGATGCCTTTTTGATAGGGACTGAATGTCTCCTTCAGCACCTTCCTTCCTCCAGTCACTTTATGATTACAATAGTAATAGGATCTTAAATAGTTCCAGGAACTCACCCCCTTCTCTTTATCTTGCCCTATAAGGCTTATTGTAGGAGCTTAACCAATGCTAATTAACTGACACATAAGAAGGTACTGTTTTATTCGATCTGGTAAAAATGACTAGGCTAAAGGACACATTCTTTCCTCACTGTGACAGTTTTAGCATACTACTAAGTACTTCTCTCTGCCTTTACACCCAACTAGATCTTAGCCAAAACTGCTTTGTAAGAAACTTGTCTTCTGCTGTCACTTTGCTCTTTCTCCTTATCTCTCAGCTTTTTCGTTTTCCTGGCTTTCTTTAAGCCTCAGCTCAAATCTTACCTTTCTCTCCGAGCCACCCTTCCATCTACTCTAACCAGTATCTTATCTAACTAGTTATTTTCATAGTAGTCTCCCTCATTAGAACATAAACTTCTTGAGGGCAGGGACCTATTTTTGTCTTTTTTTTTTCCACCCCAGGTCTTAGCATAGTGCCTGGCACATTGTAAATGCTTAATAAATACTTATGGACTGGTTACTAAGGATTAGACGATTGTGAACTATCTTGGGGAGGGAAAGGAACAAGCATTTATATGGTGCTTACTGTGTGCTAGGCACTTTACAAATATCAACTCATTTTATCCTATATATAATAATATGCTATTATTATCTCCATTTTAGAGTTGAAAAGCTGAGGCAGATAGAGGTTAAGAGCTGTGTCATATACACATATATATCATATATATACATATTATATATATATATCTAATTAGTAAGTCATATGTCTAACTAGTAAGTGTCTGAGGTCAGATGTGAACTTAGAGCTTCCTGACTCCAGACCCAGTGCTTTATTGACTACACTACCTAGCAATCCAGTCCCTTCCCTCTCCCTCCCCTAATTATTTTGTACTTTGTAAATATTGTGTATTTATTTTTGTGAATCCCGAACCCCATGAATCCCAATTTGAAACACAGTCTGCTCTAAAAAAGAGACAAAGGAAACTGGGGTACATGAGTCTGCTGTTTAATTTCTTGAAGTGGCTTGACATGCATTGCATGGGAGTTCAGTTCAAAACTGGGCCCTCCTAAAGGGGCCAGTTCAGAACTGGCTCGGTTTGGGATCATGGGGTACAGTGTTATATGCCCTTCGAAGAGTAGATGTTCCCAAAGGGGTGCCAACCAACCATGATTGGTCAACGTACTAGGAGGTAGGTGAGTTCTTTAGATCACTCAGTCTACAGGGGACAGTATAGACTGCCATCAAAGGAAATACCGCCCCTAGTCTTGGAAGTCTGTCTCCACCCAAACCTGAGTAGGATAAAATCAATTCCAGCCTGGGTTGGAGTTTGACCAAGATAAGAAGATTCAATGCAATCTCATTATCAGAGATGTCCTTCTGAATAACTTTGGGCAGAAGGCTAGTGGGATGGAGCTTTGAGTCTCCAAAACACAGATTACCAAAAGAAATCATTTTTCATACTTTTGTGTGCATATGTTACTTCCTGACATTAGAACTTAGGTTTCAGTCAAATTTAACCTCCTCCAGTGATGGGGCTTTTTTGTTGTTATTGTTGTTGGCGAGGCAACTGGGGTTAAGTGATTTTTGCCCAGAGTCACACAGCTACTAAGCGTTATGTGTCTGAGGCCAGATTTGAACTCAGGTCCTCCTGACTCCGGGACCAGTAATCTATCTGCTTTGCCACCTAGATGTCACATCAGGGCTTTTTAAAAAATTGTTGTTAACAGTGTTATAACAGCTTGTTAAGCACATAGTAGGTGCTTGATAAGAGTTTCTTGGATTGGATTTAAGTCATGGATCTTTTGAAATAATGAATCAATATCATTGCTTATTTTTTTCCCTTACAGTGAGAAAAACTGTTCAGCAATATGGGAAGCCTTTGAATCTGTGCTCCACAAGGATCCCTGCTCTGTACTGCCTTCAGACTATGACCTTTTTATTAACCTGTCGAGACACTCCATTCCCAGAGATAAGGTACTCTCTTAATTATGTGGAGAGGTTCCTCTGATTACCCTCCTTCTATTCAGACACGTGTATACGCTGAAGTAAAAGACCTTGATGCTAGCTCACCTGTGGGCCAGTCAGCACTAGCCCATCACAGACTTGGGTTCATGTTTGTGGGGAATATTTTCTGGTAAGGGTATTCCATGAGAGCTGGGTTCCACCACAGTGTGAAACTGAGAGCCTTAAAAGTCAGCTCAGGTTGAGCTATTCAGCTATTCCTGTCCTAACAGAAACCCAGGTAAACAACAGAATAAACATCAGCAAAAACATTTCACTGGAACAGGAAAAGGAAATGGGAAAATTTTACAAATATTCTCTGCACACATTCCCTAAGTGATTTCATTCCTAGCTTCCTTCATCTTCCCCAGCATAGTCCAGACAGGAAGCTTCCTTTTCTCAGTATTTCAATATTTTTGCTCTTATGAAGTATCTCCTATGCCTAGTTGTCAGCCTCTTAGGAAATAAAGCCCTGGTCTGACAGACTTATGCATGCCACACAATATGGTAGGAAATTTAAGTTTGTCATCATTCGACACTTCTCCCCACTAAAACATGACCAAAACTGAAAATTGTAATGTAGCACCCTCTCTGAGCTCACTCCCCCAAGTCACACTGGCGCTAGCAGGTTCAGTCTCCAGAGGGATAGTTACTTCTAGTCTTAAGGTTCTTGAAGTAACTGTCTGGTACCTTATGCTCTGTCACTGGAGTCCTTCGTCTTATCAATAAGCTGGCAGGCTCAGTTCTCAACAAAGGCATTAATTTAAATGGCATAGCAACAACAGTAATTATCTCTCCCTCTCCAAAACCTGGGGCTGATCTTCTTATGCAATCAAGTTATTGAAACATTATCATGGCTTTTCCAAGGTGTAGGATGTTTCCTTTGCCTCTTCCTTCATATTTCTGCATCTTTTTCCCTTGTGACCTTTAATCTTGTTGACATCTAAACAAGGTACCCCCTTACGTGAACAATCATCTTTCCAATATAAGATTGTTGCCGCAGTTAGTGTTAATGAATCAGATTCTTCTAACCCTACTCTTGGAGGAGAGGAATGTGCTTGTGCAAACCAGTCACTATATGGAAATTTCTACCCCCTCCTAAGGAGTGGGATGTTCACACCCAAATTCCATGTTATTGGGGGAAGTCAGTCCATCCTCTCCTATGTCCTAGTGTTAGCTTGACATTATTCATCGCTACCACTTGGAGAATAAAACAGAAAAACTTCGTCATTTGTCTGACTGAGAAGAACTCTGAATTCTTTTTTTTTTTAGAAATCTGAATTCTAAAAGAAATTTTAGGCACAAACATTTCAGGTCATTACCATTTTGCACAATGATAGCAATACTTTTGCAATATGAGCTTGTGTGGAACAATGTGTGAGGCAACATGGTGTAGTGGGTGAAATACAGGATTCGGAAGATAGAAGACCTGGGTTTCCATCCCAACTCTGCCCTTACTAGTGGTATGACCTTAAGCAGGGCACTTAACCTTTCCAAGACTCAGTTTCCTCATCTGTAAAATGGGCGTAGTAATACCTCCACTATCTGCCAGTGACAGGCCAGAAAAACCTATAGCCTTTGTTTGAACAGGCTGTCTCTGTATTACATATGCCTCCTTCTCCTAGGATCCTTTGCCTTTTCTGGAAACTTCCATGCCCAGTGCTTCTAGCCAATCCCTAGTATCTTTCTGCCTATGATGTAATAGGTGGGAAACCAATCAGACACACCTGAGAAAGACTACACCCCTCACTGTAAAGCCTCTTGACCCTTACTAATTTTGCTTCTGCTAAATGTCTGGGACTGTCCCAGCATTTAGGCAGAGCTACAGTGTGTCATGAGCTGCTCTGAAATATAAAGCAATGGAGCACCCAGGTTTCCCACCCATCAACCTGGAAGGAGTGACAAGAACTTGGCAGAACTTCAGTGTTTCCCATCCAAAGGGGAGCCTTTTGCATGCTTGTCAACTCTCTCTCCCTCTGAGGTTACAGTCGTCTTCCTTAAGGTGTTTGTGAATTCCTGGCCCTTTGGGTATATTCTTGATTACATTAGCCCACCCCATGGTATTGGGACTCATACCTTCTATTCTGTGAATTAAAGTGCACCTTGGTAAGGGTCTACTGCTTTTAGCATCTCTGGACAGTCTATCTCTTTCGTTAAGGCCTTTCTAAGACTGAAAGCAACTCTAATGAACTAGGTCATTACCTTACAGGGTGGTTGTGAGTATAAACCATGGCCAAGAGTCCCCTCAAGGATTCTGGGCTCACATGAACCAGGTCTAGTCCTGGGGATCTGACCCCAGAAGACCACTCTTTCTCCTTGGTTCACACCCCCTAGAGTTTTATAGTAGGGACCAAGAAAGATAGTTTGGGTATGGCTTATGTCTAGGTTTTCCAAAATATGGGTGGTGGGATTACCAACCACCACACAGCATCTCAGTGTACAACATGATTATCAGTTAATCAATATAGAAATATTTATTATGTGCCAAATGCATAGAAGAACCCATCACAGAAAATGGATAAGATAGAGGATTCACAGGAGCCTTCAAACAAATAGAAGTATTCAAATAGCCCATTAGATTCTCCCCCAGGTAAACACACTTTAGGGGCTGCTAGATATATAATTTCCCTTTACCTTTGGGGATACAATAATGGTTTAATATGTTCCATATATCTTGTCCCACAGCATGTCTTTGGTCCATCAGCTGAAGGTTGTTCCTCTCTTGGTAGCATTTCCTTCCTCTCTAAAAGGCACATAGTTGAAGACATCTACCTCTAGGAGACTCATGGTCAAAGGACTGAACTCAGGAACTCCCAGTCTCTTGGGAACTTTTGAATCTGGAATTACCAAGAGCACAGTGAGTGGAAGGTGCATTTTCAGAAACTCTAGTCTCTTAACTCAAGCTCAAGAAAAGCTAGAGAGAGGCAAAAGGTGGTCAGAAATTAGGTTTAAGAACCTAAGGTCACCTAGACAAACACATGTTGCTCTTTTAAGTCACTGTTTGGCTGGGGGTGGGGAGGGAAGAGAAAGGGAATGGGAGAGGAGATAAAAAAGGAGACGGAGATCTAAGGAAAAGAAAGCATGTGTGTGTGTGGGGGGGTGAGAGAGAGAGTGAGAGAGAGAGAGAGAGAGAGAGAGAGAGAGAGAGAGAGAGAGAGAGAGAAAGAGAGAGAGAGAGAGAGAGAGTTTTATAGACGTGGATTAGACAGGAATTGCTCCAGTTCCATGATCCAGATCCATGGGGGTGGAGTGGGAGTGGGTGCTCTTTGACAAGAGTTCATCCCACATACTTAAATCTACAATCATCTTGAGAGTAGCCTCAACCACTGGGAACTGATGGGGGGGGGTTTCCTCTGTCCTGTCACAGGGCTGCAGGGTAGATTAGTACCTCTAAGGAAAGCAGCCTATAAACAAAGGCCCAAAACTTGTAACCTCATGAAATTGATTGGGGAAATCATGAAAAATGTTTTAATTGTTTTCAATTATCAAGAGTTTATTTCCCACCCACCCCTACCCCTGCCCTGCAATGGAAAAGAGAAAAGATAACCCTTGTAGCAAACATGGATAGTCAAGCAAACCAAATATCCACTATTTGGCTATATCCAAACATGTAGGTCTCATTCTGTATACTGAGTACATTGTTTCTGTCAGGAGAGGGGTAGAATTCTTCATCTGTTCTGGAATCATGATTGGTTATTACGATGATCAAAGATTTAAAGTCTTTCCAAGTTGGAACACATAAATTGAGCAGAGGGTCCCCTAATCAGCCCTATTACAAGAAAAAAGGACTTCGTAAATCTTAAAAGCGCTATATGAATGTACTGATTGCTCCATCCTAGGACCTCAGAGTTCCAGGAATATCCTTGAGTAGTTCTCTACATTGTAGAGCATTTCTTAAACTGTGGGGCATGACCCCATATTGGGTCTGGAAAAATTTGGCAATAGTAAAAGGTTTCTGAATGCGCAACAACCAAAAATTAATTAAAAATCAAACATGTAAAGAATTGGAGGGGTTTTCTTGCCTGTGCTGCATCTGCAAATTCACTGCAGCTTTGGTTCTGAACACCAAGCATGCCCACTCTGCAATGCATATGCCCTCAGACCACGTAACACCAAGAAGGTCACCCTTGGAAAAAGTTGTGAACCTGAATATGGGTGTGTCCCCTAGACATTCCCCTAACTCCCTATGCCCCTCAGCTGCCAGTGATTAATGCCTTAGTTCTATTTAACTAATTAACATGGATGAACGAGAACTGAAGGACATTTTCCTATCTGCCAATACGTGGGTGGCACAGTCACAGCAGTAGAATGGGACCCACCAAGTTCATACCCAATTGCCATGCTGGATCAGTTCCTCTCTAAACTAGAGGTGGGCTGCATCTCAAAGGTTGTTCCTCACCTCAGGACCTTGATGCTGAACTGGCTGGCCATCAAACCCAGAATATAGGAAAAACTTAACACCAATATAAAGAACCCAAGGTCTGTATTTATAGGTTACATTTTGGCCTTGGATGGGGAGGGCCAGAGGCCTCTCTCCTATTACTTACTCTCTTCTCTAACCAGAAGACAGGCAGGCAGGAAAGAGTCAGACCAAAAAGGGACTGCTCTTGGTAACTAATGTCTTTTGAATGAAACCCATTTCTATCCCCATAGCCAATCAAAAAGACTTCTCATAAAGCTGTTGGCAAAACCAGACCCAGTTACAGAATGTCTCCACATGCCTCTAAGTTCCCATGGAGAAAGCATAAGCTGAGCACTCTACACATGTTCATATGGACTGGCCTTATTGGCCCGTCCCTGTTACATGACTATGAGCCATTGCAATTCAGAAAAGTTACATTTATATGAATTTTATATAATTGGCTAAATATTTCATTAATTTTTGCAAAATATTTCTTATGATAAAGAATTAAAATCCATACCCTTTTCCAAGGGGGAAATAGTGTTTAAAATAAGCCAGGACCAATCATTTGTCACCACACAAGTTAGAAATGAAAGTAAGATAGAATGCAACTCTTTTGGTTCCTACATAAAACTTGCATGATATATATACTTAAAAAAACTGGTACTGAGATATTTTTTCCATATCATTTTATTATTTTTCTCTCTAGTCGTTGTTCTGGGAAAATAACTACTACCTTGTTATTGCTTATGCTGATAACGCCCGCCGGCTGATGCCTATAACTGATGTGCTATATGGCAGGGTAGGAGATGTCATCAATTGGTGTCGACAAGAAAATGGCTCAGGTAAGATTACTTTGTCATCCAAAGGAGAACCAACACTGAGAAGCCAATCATAAGTTTGTTCTAGACAGAGACAGAGACCCGGGTTTCTAATTCCCTACATTGTAGGATAATTTTGTTGATTTATGCCCTCTCATCAAGCTTCTATGCTACAAAGAACATCAATATTGGTTATAAATTATAACATTAATGTTATTCATCCATTTCCTCCATTCAAATGCAAAAGAATAGATCTGTAATCTCCAGCTGAAGATAATAGAATTTACAACTGAGAAGAGATTTTAGTGTTCGTCTTCTTCAATTTACAAATGAAGAAACCGAGGTTCCCAGATAGGACATATACCATAGTAGATGTCATTCAGACTTGGAATCTGGAAGACCTACATTCAAGTTCATCTCACTTACTAGCTATGTAACCCTGGGCAAGTCATTAACCCCTCAGTCTCAGTTTCCTCATCCATAAAATGGGTATAAAATGAGCACCTACATCACTTCACAGAATCACTTAAAGTATCAAATGAGTTATTTGCAAACCACTTTATAAGCCATGAGGTGCTATATAAGTGGTAGTTGCTAATATTATTGCTATTAACTTTCTGAGATTACACACATATTAAGGGACAAAGTTTACATTTTAGTCTATGTCTTCTGACTCTAAAGTGAGTGTTCTTCCTACTGTTTCAAGTTGTTCAAACCAACCAAACTGTGGGCGCATGGATGGAGGTTAGAAAAAGTGGGATTTTTTTTTTAAGATCAGAACCTACTTCATCCCATTAATGGCATTTAGAATTGTACAGTTAATGAACTCTACAGGTGTCATCAAATGAGAAATATTACTTATTTCTAAATTATATGTGAAAGAAGAGGCATGATATAGAGGCTAAAGCCTGGCCTAAGAGGAAAATTTGGGTTTAAGACTTGTTTCTAACATGCATGTGACCATGCTCAAGTCATTTGATGACTTCATGCCCCAGGCAACTCTCTGGAAGTTAAACAAATTGGTGGAGGGAGTTTCTACCCCAGGAGTTCCTTATGTTCCTTATTTACCCCCTCCTAAAAATGAAAAATAAATTATATTAGAAGTAGTTGCTAATGTTCTTTCATACAAAACAAGATGGCATAGAATAGGTAAAAACACTAGTAACTAGGTAGCTCAGTGGGTAGAACACTGGGCCTGAGGTCAGGAAGGCCTGAGCTCAAATCTGACCTCAGATATTTATTAACTGTGTAACCCTAGGCTAGTCATTTAACCTGCATCTGCCTCAGTTTCCTCAACTGAAAAATGGAGATAATAATAGCATTTATTTGCCAGAGTTGTTGTGGCAATCAAATGAGATGATAATTTTAAAGTCCTTGGCACGTAGTAAGCAATATAGAAATGCTAGCCATTATTGTCATTATTAAGATTCAGGTTTAAAATCCAAAACCTGGACCATGAGGAATCAGTGGAAGAAGTGATTTTTGTTGCTAAGAGATCAGAGGTTCAGCTCAGATTCCTAAAATCTAGCCACTGCTCAGATTCTCATAATATAGCCACTGCTGGGATTCTTATAATCTAGCCACTGGTCAGATTCTCATAATCTAGCCACAGCTCAGATTCCTAAAATCTAGCCACTGCTGAGATTCTTACAATCTAGCCACTGGTCAGATTTTTACAATCTAGCCAATAGCTTACTCATGTTCATACTCCTTAAGAGTCTGCCAATATGGCAGATGTTCTAATAAACCTTGTCTTTGGCTTAAAAAGAGAGATCAGAGGTTCTAGTCGCAGCCTTATGACTAGACATTATGTGACCTTGAGCTGTTTTATCACTCATTCTGTGCCTCAGTTGCCTCATCTGTAAATGGCAATAATACACATGCTGAAAACATGAGCCTAGACTAGGTCATCCTTTGAGGTCATCTCTAAGCCTAAAGTCTATTGTTCTATGAAGCTGTTACTGTACAAGCTCCATTCCTCTACCTGTTTCACAAATCTCTAATATATCCTAGTCAGCCAATCTTTTTGCCTTAACTTCTTTCCCTTGTGATCAAACCAATAAAACACTTTGGGTTTTTCCTTAGATTTTGATTATCACTCCTGCCCCACAGTAGAAGACTGTGAGAACAATGCTGTGGACTCCTTCTGGAAGAGAGCATCCTCACAGGTAAATGCTCAGCTAAGGGAGGCCAGGTGGGACGGATGGCTCCAGTAGTGTTTGAAGCCAAATAGAAAGAGGTGGAGAGAGAGATCACATGTAAGAGCATAAGAGAACTGGCCTGAGTCTTGGAAGATTCGATTCAGGTCCTGCTTCTCCGGTCAAGTCTTTTAACCTCTCAATGCCCCAAGCATGCAGAGAAGATGTCCCTCTGTTTTGGCAGAGGGAGTTTGGGAGTTCCTTCCATCGGTAAAATCACAGGTCTAACAAATAAAGACTTGTGAAGCCACAGTTTCCAAGAGGTGTGCTGAAGTGCTGCAGATAAGGGTTTTTTTTTTCATGGTTTTCTTTTCTTTTTTTTTTTTCCCCAAGGTGGGGTAGATAGGTATAGTTTTCCTTACTCTTAGGCCAGCTAAATCATGCTTTATCTGTTCATGTACAACCTGGAAATGAAGAATATTTCTCATTTAATGATACCTGTAAGGTTTCTAGAGAAACAATCAATCAATAATCATGAAGATGAATATCTGCTAAGTGCTAAAGCTCAGTGAATCCTAATTTCATTTGCTATGTCTTATCTTTGCAAAGGCAAGAAAATCAATGTGGAACGGGAAATGAGGGTGGTAGTGTCCAGTTTGATTTTAGTGCTGTATTTATCAGTGTCCAACAAGTGCATTAGTAATTGTGTAATTAGCAATCCCATTAGTAATTGTGATTATTTGAGAATAAAATAAAATATTTTTTCTTTCAATTTATATGTATTATCTTTCTCAAATGGCTACTAGATTGCTAGGATGGCATTAACAGTAATAATAACGATGGTTAGCATTTATATAGCATATGCTATGTGCCAGACATTGTGCTAAGTACTTTACAAATATTATCTCCTTTAATCCTCACAATAACTGTGGGAGTAGATGCTATTCTTATATACCCATTTTATAGTTGAGGAAACTCAGGCAGATAGAAGTTAAGTGACTTGTCCAAGCTGAGGTGGCAATTGAACTTGGGTCTTTCTGACTCCAGGCCCAATTCTCTACCCACTGTGCTACCTAGCTGCCTATTTAATTGTTTGGACCTAACTATTTAATTAACAGAAGCATTGGGTATGTTTTTTGGCCTAGAGGTACTGTGAAAAAATTACTGAGACACTAAAGGAGGTTACCATGAACTGAGAAAGTTTGGGAACCTCTGCTCATAAGACAATAAGCCTATAGAACTTCTGAATTAGAAGCCCATTATCAGGGACATTATCAGAACCTACTTGGGAAGGCCAAAGAAACTCGAGAATGGGGTGAGAGGGAATAGAGAGAGAATTTTAGATGATGTAATCTCATCATAAGCCTAGAGTTTGGAAATGGTAGTCCTAAAAGCTCTACGGTGTAGAGGCTCAGCTATGCAATTCAGGTGGGTTAACACTCTAAACTTCATTGCAAAATAACTGAAAGCCACAGCAGCTACCTGGGGTGCTCCAAATCAGCCTTCTTGCTGAGGTCTCCTGGGACAACTTGTCTGGGCCAGGCATATGTGGTCTAACACATCAAGTGACACAATTCAGAGATAAGAGACAAAGCCAAAATGCAATTGTGAAGCCATTGCCCTGGGGAAGAAGTATCAGGAAAGAAGTCGCTTGGGAAAGGCCAAAAACATTCCAGAGTTACCAGTCTAGGAAGGGGATTCCCCCTTTAACATCTTCCGGCCTCCTCCAGGTTAGTTAACTTGCTTGCTGAAAGCCAGAATTAAGGAGAGCTAAGGCTGGACTCAGTGCTTATAACGGGGATCAGGAAAGACAACATGCCAGAATCTTATTTTAAGGAACTCAGGAAGGTGGGTAGTTGCAGCAAATTGCTTTGACAGGGCCTACACTGTCTTTTTGAAGCTGTATAATAAGCATCTGGGGCATGGGCAGTAAGAATGGTTCTCTAATGGAATCCCTCCTCCCTTTCCCCAACTCCCACCCCTGAACAATGCACCCATTGCCGCCTCTGTAGCTGGGAAATGCCAGAGAATAGCACTTAGGTTCTACCTCATGAAAACCAGTCTTCTGAAAATTCCTAAAGGACTTGAAGTTTGTCTTTTTCGCTGTTTAGTTTTCATTTTCTTTACCTTACTTTATTTCCTTTTGCTATGTGCTTCCCTGTCCCTGACCCCAGGTATACAGTATCCTCATATCCTTTGCCTAATTCCTTCTATTATGGTGATCATCAACTTTACTCCCAATCTAGACACATACATTTCAAGGCCCTTGCTCTACTTGGTGACAGTAGAGGACAATGGATAAATGAATTCCTGATGATACATGGCAAAGTGGAAATGATAGTAGACTTGGAATTAGAAGAATTGGGTTTGACTCCCACCTTCCCTTACTAGCTTTGTGACCTTGGATAAGTCATTTGATCTTTGTGCCTCAGCTTTTTTATCCATAAAATTAGGGATACTTTTATTTCCTAACCATCAATAAGCATTTATTCCAACTTTACAGAGTGATTCAATTCAATTCAACAATGACTTATTAAATACATACTATGTGCCTGGAACTGTGTTAAACTCTGGGGATACAAAGGCATAGAAAACAGTCTTTACCTTCAAGGAGCTTACATTCTATTGGCAAAAGTGTAGTTGTGAGGAAAACTCTTTGCAAAAAGTATCATATCATATAGCAGCCTGGTTACTACACTCATGTGTAAGGGCAATCTTAAAATGTCACCATAAAATGCCTACTTCCATCCTAAGAGTTTGGGGTAAGTGTAAGAGTTTGGTTTTGATAACTGATGGGATAGACGATGCATATATGTCCTAAAATTAATTACTTGCATCTCCCCTCTATGTGATGGTTAATTAATAATAATTGAGGAAATAACCCGAGCTATATGATTTACTAGCAAAACAGGTATAACAAATAGGTCAAAGGACTCCTCAGTCTCCAAAGACCTGAATACAGAGTGAGACAGATTTTTATGTATTAAAAATAATTAATCAAAGAAAACAAGTTAATTATAAAAAAAATAACCAGGATACAAAATTAGGTAATCTGATTTCTAATTGGAGGGAAGATTGGGAGCTTTCCAAGTTGATAGTGAGGAAGAGTAAGTTTTGGTTAAGTTAAAAGGGGAACAAGTAGGTTTCAAGGTCTTTCTCTTCCCAGAATTAAGAGATGCTGATTAATTGAATTGACCTACATTTATGAAATAATAGATGAAATAATATAAACATCTAGTTTCCCATGGATCATTTGCAGAAAAACCAAATGGAGGAGAATACGTGTGGAAACACAAGATGGAATCAGTGTTCTTGAGATAGAATGTAATCGGTTCTCCTGATTCCCACACCAAACCAACTCTATTTTATTAAGCACCCTGCTATGTGCCAGGGACCACAGTAAATGGTGAGGATACAAAAAGAAGCAAAAGATAGTCCTTGTCTACAAGGAGTTCATAATCTCTTCCACTCTCAAACACATCCGCTTGAAAAAATTTTGATTTCTCCTAAGTGCTGTATTTATCAGTTGCTAATTATTTGATTTTTTTCTATTTTTTATGGTTTTTAATTTTTTAAAAAATTATTTGATTTTAAAAATATTTGTTTTCTTTCACAGTATGCACATGATAGCTCAGGGGTGATACATGTTATGTTGAATGGTTCAGAGCCATCTGGAGCCTATCCAGTAGAGGGGTAAGTGGAAAAGAACTAATACTACATAATATATCAGAGCAGTATCAAAAAGTTGATGGAAAAGAAAAACAGGTGAACTGAGAACCATTACCTGCAAACCAATCCAAATCTTTGCAATGCAAATGAAAACCTTTGTACATCCAGGTAGCAGAAGACCAATGAAACAGCTCTGGGAGCAGAGATGAACCTGCTCCAGACTGACAAAGAGTTCTAGAAACAGAAATTGGTAACTACTTGACTAATATTCTACTTATAACAGTGGCATTTTTCATGGTGAAAAGTTTTAGGGGGTTTGGGTTATGTTAGGGCAGGGGTGGGGAACCTGTGGCCTCGAGGCCACGTGTGGCCAAATTCAACTGAATTTGGATCAAATTCAAGCCAAAGAGCCACAGTTGAGGACCTAGAGGGCCACATGTGGCCTCGAGGCCACAGGTTCCCCACCCTGGGCTAGTGTGTATGTGGGGGGACAAAATGGAGGAGCTCATGAATTTAGAATAAGAAACCACAGCTAACCTTTTCTACTGTCTTGTTCCTTTGGCTTATGGGGAGGTGGAGGTGATCACAGGCTCTCTATGCCTGGGCCAGTGGAGTGCAAGCTTGGGCAGGTCTCGTGGAGGAAGTACCTACCCTAATAAAGTCATAGTTTCTGGAAGTATTGAAGTTAACAAGCCCAGCTGGTAGATTTGGCAACAAATTAGAGCCCTGGTACTTGCCACACCTCTAATACTGAGAGTGTTACGCGCAGGTTATGGGAGTGTCCCCTCCTCCAGTGCTTCATTGTGGTGCTGAGGTGGCCCTCCTTCTTGAAGATTATGCCAAGGGCATGTGAAAGCTGGCAAGCTGCAGCAAGCTGTAGAGACTTTGAGTACTGTCCTGGCAACCAGCCTTGCTGAGCATAGAAAGGATAATTCCCAAGTAGGTCAGGCCCTTGATGATGAATGGCCATGGCAACCCGTGCAGCAAAGGAAAATACAAAAATGGCTCAGAGCGCTCTTCAATGATTGTGGGGGAGGGTGCTAAAAATCACACATTTTGAGATTGTTTATTAACATCTCATGTTATTAACACCCCCCCCAAATTCTGACAGAAGAAAATAATCCATCACATATAAGATATGAAATTTTATAGGCATAAATGTAAAATTATAATTTAGATTTCAAAAATCAGTAACATAAGTATAATTTGGAGACAATATCACTTATATGAGTCATAGTATGGTATAAGATACTAAAACAAAAAGTGAATTTAGATGGCTTTAATAAGAGTATTGTGATCAGTAGAAGGGAGATGATAGGCCCAACTCTACTCTCCTTTGGTTAAGATACATCTTGAAAACTAGGTAGTTTCTGGATATTTGTTTTTAAGGGATATTAATAACTGGAGTAAGTCCCAAGGAGAAAAGACAGACTTTTTTTGGGGGGGGGTTAGGCAATGGGGTTGTGACTTGCCAGGGTCACACAGCTAGTGTTATGTGTCTGAGGCTGGATTTGAACTCAGGTCCTCCTGAATCCAGGGCCAGTGCTCTATCCACTGTGCCACCTAGCTGCCCCAAGACAGAATTTTTTTAAGGGCTATAAAACTATAAGGATTAGGGTGGAGCCAAGATGGCGGAGTAAAAGCAGTGACTTGCTTGAGCTCTCCCCCAAACCCCTCCAAATAAGTATAAAAATGGCTCTAAAATTATAAGGATAATTGCAGAAACTAGAAGACTAAATAAGAAAATTTAGGGTGTATAGGAGTATGATCTTAAAATGATAAAAAAGACTTACATAGAAAAGAGATTAGAAACATTTAAATCATGAAAATAAAATAGTCAAGCCCGCATTTATTAAATGTCTACTCTATGCCTCTGCTAATCAATTTTTAAAATGTATTACACATTCTGAATAGTACCACAATCATGTAAGATCAGTAAGGGGAGGTTATCAAGGACACGGATGTTGGTTAAGTTTAAAGAAGGATTTTCTAAAAATTAGAGTTGTTAAAAAATAGAATGGGCTAACTTTTTAGATAGTGAGTTCTCTATCTCTGGAGATGTCCAAGAATTTTAAAATATGGTAAGACATTACTTAAAAATATAAAAAACATTCTTAGCTCATTATAGAAGGAATCCATCTATCTGGCAGGGGTTTGGACTAGATTATCTCTAAGTTCACTTCTATTATGGGAATTTTTGGTTTCTTTTTATGAATTTTTATTATTCAGGGCTCAGGGCCATTCTTCCTGAAACTTGGTTAACTACAAGCCTGTCTTCTGTTAATATTAAACTTATCTGACCAAAATGTGACTTACGGAGAATAGTATTAAGGGAAGACTTTTGATATTCCTGAGTTAAGAAGCCAAATGAGAGGAAAAAGGGAATATAGTATCTTTAAAACTTCCCCAAAATACTTTAGTTGTGGAAGAATTTCCCTGATATTAAATCTTACTGACATGTAATTCCTTTCCTCTCAATTAGCCCATCATGACTTCTTTAACATATAGCCTTTCAGTTTTGTAAGTAAGATTTTGCAAACTCATTGTTTGATCTAGAACCTGAGTTAGTTTACCTATAGAGTTTATTTAACTAGGTTTATTTCCAGAGGGGATGTATATAACTCTGCTTAAGTAAATTTGCTCAACTTTTATGATGTTGAAGGAAGCATGGTTTATGAAATTAAAAAAAGACTTTTATAGCCTAAAGGAATGTATGAGATTGTAATATGTTAAAAAAAATTTAGTTCTCTTTCTCTCTGACATATTTTTGTCTATAAAACCTTGTCAGAAAATCCTAGTCTCTGTTCAGGGATTATTTTTCTACTCCTCTGAACCTGTGATTAAGCTAAAATCTAAATTTTTACCTGTTCAATATCTGTGTTGTGGTAGATAAATTTAAGCAATTCTTATCTACCACATGAACTTGATAAGGAAGTATTTCTTTCATAACACTTTTTAAATTAACCCTTCTAGTTCAAAGACTCTACGATTATACGTACTGTGCAGTTTAAATATGGAAAACAACCACTGTTCCTTCATTTTTTATGTTTAAGAATAATATTGCTCAGCATTGTTAAGAGATTTTCACATATCCCATTAAAGCCATGTTCAAAGCACGTGGCTTTAAATAACAAGCCTCAAGCCTTTGTTAAGACTATAGTAATTATTTTTCAATCAAGAGTACATAGAACAGAACACTTTTTTTAAAAGTAAAGTATATTAATTTATAATTGAAAAGCAATAGTATGCAAATATATTGGTACCTGAAATGAAAAGGGTGCTTTGAGAATTTAATTTTTTTCTTTCTTTCATTGAGGTTTTTTGCAGGTTATGAGATCCCCAACTTCCAGAAAGATAAAGTCACACAATTTGAGATCTGGGTTATGCATGAAATTGGAGGACCATATTTGTAAGTTAAGACTTTATTTATTAAAAGTGAGTAATTGTTTAGAAAAATAAGTGTACCAAGCTCGTAAACAAGCTATTTAAAAGCATGTGTCAAAAAAATAAAAGTTCACTCCGTGTAAATTGGCAGATTACTCAGGTTTCTAGTCAAATATTAGACAAATAAAGACAAAGATGTTGGTTCTCTGGGAAGATACAGAGATAAAGATAGTGTTATGTAATCAAAAGAGTCCTAGAGTTGGAATCTAAGAAGCTGGATTTTAATCCTGCTCTTCCATTTACTATCTATGTGACATTGGGCAAGTTATTATAGTCTGTGGGTTTCTTGCTAGCCACTCATTTGTTAGGTATATTCACATGAGGGGAAGGGGCAGCATGTTCCCAAGACAGTCTGATCTGTGCCTACCACAGCATAGCTGGTAGTCCAACAGGACCATCAATGTCATAGTCCTTGTGTGATCTTTCCCCTTCCACCTTCAAAGGTTGGGGAAGAAGGTTTGGCAGTGTTCTCCCTTGCCTGACCTACCACTGAGATTGTTTTGTAGTCAGGGCCAGAGGAGAGATGGTTAGCTTTTGAGGATGGTGACCTGGCTGTGGTGAGGGACCAGGTATTAGGGAATTCCTCAGTGTAGAGATTCTAATTTCCTCCTGAAGAGTAATTCTTCCTATCTAGTTTGTTCCAGTGAAGGTTTTTGTTGTTCAGTTATGTCTGACTTTTTGTGACCCCACTTGGAGTTTCTTGGCCAAGATGTTGGAGTGGTTTGCATTTTCTTTTCCAGCTCCTTTTATAGATGAGGAAAACTGAGGTAAACAGGGTGAGGTGACTTGCCTAAGGTCAAATAGCTATATTTAAACTTGGGAAGATGAGTCTTCCTGACTCAAAGCCTAACACTCTATCCACTGGGCTACCTAGCTGCCCCTCCTAATCTCATCAGGCTATCCAGGTAGGGCAGGAATTTATTTTCAGCAATATGTCTAGGTGGGACCTGAGGTGAGATGGAATCTGCATCAGGTTTTTCTTTACATAACCCTGCAGGCTGCATTTTCTTTGACCTCCAAGGTTACTTTTAAATATTTATTTTTATTTTATTTTTATTTTTATTTTTTACTTTTAAATATTGAAAGGGGGAGAGAAGACGGTTCCCTAAATTCACAGCAATACAGGTTTTGTCCATTTCCTCTGCACAGAGTTGTTGTTGCAGATGTGAAGCTCATGGTAAAGGGATGATATGGGCCACATTAGCTGGAAGAATGGGTCACTTGGTTTGTGCCCCATATTCTTGGCCCTCTTAGCACTCCATTATACTCATGCCCTGCCCCACCTTGCTGAGTTGGTGGTCTATCATCTCCTTGCCAGAAGACACTTTTCTGGGAAGCCAAGAGGCCTTAAGCTTTTGAAGCTGTTCTGGAAATCCTTCCGCAAAGCTGGGAGTTGGGAGGAGTGGGAGCCTTGCCTGGGTCTTGCAACCAAGAAGGCTTTCAAATGGTAATGTTTTCATACTTAAGGTGACTACTTCCAACCTAATCAAGAAGGTGAATGTAGATATAAATTTGGAGCAGAAACTTTGAAAGGAATTACCTAAAATGTAAATTCATTCAGTAGTAGACATGACTATACCATTAGAACTCCAGTTTGTTGAGGCTTAAAGAGATTTGCTGTGAGATTTGCACGTAAATGAGAACTTTGAGATTTTTTTCATTTTTATTTTGACTTTAACAAACTCCAAGTAAAATGGGCATTTCCATATTCACAGTAGAACAGATTAAGAAATTATACCCCTGAAACTGAAGATTTCTATTATGTAGAGCCTGCTTTTCTTGCTAAGTATATAATAAATTCAAACTGTAGCCTTCCAAATCTGACAAAGCTTGTCTGTGATTCTTTCTAGTTTTCCTTCTGTTCTCTACCTTTAAAAAATGCCTCAATGGTGCTTTTTCTTTTCTTTTTTTCCTCATCCTATTTCTATCATCTCTTGGCCTCCCACTCACACCTCTCCCCATGGGGAGAGAAAAAGTGGGAATAATTTTGTAAAAGAGGCAAATGGAGAAAATGTGCAAAGGTATTTAAAAAGGAAAAGTTAGGGGCCAACAGGAGGAAGCACACATTAGATCCGTGTTTTGGGAAACAGAAGGGGAAAGCCCTAGATGGTTTTCTTATCTACAGCTAAAAGGTGAGACTGAAAGGTAGGGGAGAAAGTTCTTCTCCGAATAGTAGAAAAAGCACTGACTCCCCTTAGAGAGGATCTGGGCTCAAATCTTAGCTCTAATGCTTATTAGCTGTGACCTTAGGCAAGTCATTTAATTTTCCTGGCCCTAGTTTCCCCATCTGTAAAATGAGGAGGTTGGCCTGTGATTCCCTTCTAATCTATTCCTTTGGTTTCTTTGAAAAGGCCCTCTTGACCTACTGAAGTTTCACCCCTGACTGAGAGCACTTCGGAAGGCATTTTATGATGATAAGTTTGGGTCAGTGGTTACCTGTCCTCAATATAATGCCTACACATTGATGGAGCTATTTTCTAATCTTGATTTAAACTCAAAACCTTCTCCCCTTTTTAATTCAAACACTTCTTGAAATCCTGCTTCCTTCATTCCATTTCCCCTCCTAACTGGAAAACATGTATAATTTTATAATTCTCTCTGTAGTACACTTTCATAGGAGAGAAAATGAATCTCTTATCCCACATAAATCCATTCAGGTTTAAAGGATAATAATAAACTAGGAGTAACCTAGAATTCTAGTACATTCATCTCATTCTATAGAAAAGGAAACTGAGAACCAGAGAGTTCAAATGAGTTGTTCAAGGTCATACAATAATAAGTAGCAGAACCAGGATTACAACCCACGATTCCAACTTCTGCAAATCCAATCTTTTTTCTACTCCAGAAAACCTTATGCCATAGTGACTTTCACCTCTTGCTATCTTCCATACTACATGAGGAGATAATAAATTTCCCTACAAGAAGCTCGTTTGCCTGTTCAGCACATTTATTAACATCTCTGTTTTTTCTTAAAACTTATTTAGACTCTCAATGCTCAGATGGCAAGAATTATATCTGTTTAACTCACTTTCAGGCAACTGTCAGCATGAGATGAATTTATTGTTACTTTGACAAGTAATAATACCTCTCACAACAAAATGTACAAAGTCAGATTTAATATATAAATGCTCTTGATAGTGGTGACTCATTTAACATAAAGTTGGCCAAAAATCAATGACAGAGGCATCATGGTACAGAAGAAAAGAGTACTGGATTTAGAATCAGAAGTCCTTCAAGGATTTACATTGGCAGGGAGCAAGTTTACAACATTGCTCCTCTGGTCAAAAGCCTGTTTTTTTAGAGTCCTTCCCAAATACATAACACTCTGCTAGGTGAGGGGAAAAGACATTTCTGAACTCTCAGTGCTCACAGTCTTACTGGGGATTGAGAAGGAGCTACAATGGCTCTTCATTATCTACTACATCAGTGGCTCTGCCTTAGTCTGACCTTCTTCCAAAATTACCTAGCACTAGAGGAAGAATCCTGCCCTAAAGGATGATATCATAGCTCCCCAGGACCTGCTACAACTTTGGTGGGTCTTGGTGCCCTCCAATGGTGCATTGGGATACATTATGTAAATCAATTATATCTATAAGAAATAAAGATTTTCCAACAACCACCATGAGTTACAAATCTACAAGACATATGTAGGTTCTTTTCACATCCCTCCTGTGGCATAAGGGAAATCCTAGTGGTAACTTTGGGTCCATGAGCTTTTAAAAAATTTATATTTTGATAATTGTACTTCAACATAATTGATTTCCTTTGTAATCCTACATATTTTATTGTATATATTTTTAAAATATTATTCTGAGAAGGGTCCATAGATTTCACCAGCCTACCAAAGAGAGGCCCATGACAAAAATAGGTGTAGCCGGTTTCCTATCAGCCACAGTGGGGTCACCGCTGATTATTACAGTTTGTGGTAATGAATCATCCCAATCAAGTTGGTCCAACAGTCAGGAGAAGGTCCTTAAGAGTTGAAATTTTATTTTACAGAGAATCTTGTGGGGAAGGCAGTGTGAAAATACTGGAAAGGAGACTGAAAAATATGGAGTTTAAATATGAATGCATTAATGATTACAGGTAAATGGAATCTGTTTGGTGGATATTTAGAGGGATATTCATATCCTGCCCAAGGTTGTATTGGCTAATTGATAAGGTAATATTGCTGATTACTAAGTTAGTGTTGCTTAATGGTTTGTTACTGGGTCTGGAAGACAGTATTCCATAGTCCAAAGAACTTTTACTACTGAAGGGGATATTTCTGTCAGAGCCTATCTACTTAACCTCCCCATTTTCTTCCATGTCCCTTCCCAGTAATATTGTCTGTGGTTCCCAGTGCAAGATATCTACTAACTATCAGCATTACATCATTAATAAGAGAGGAAGCAGGAATCAGAGAATACCATGATGATGGAGCTGAATGAGAGGGTACATGACAGACTAGGAGTTGGGAAGAACTGAGTTTGAATTCTTTCTCAGATACTTATTAGCTGTATGATCTCAAGCAAGTCACTTTACTTCTTGATCTCTTTAGGTGCAAAATGGTGATAATAATAGCACCTTGCAAGCTTGTTTATTATTATTTTATTTGCCATGAAGCCTTCTCTGAGTAATCTAAGCCAGCCCCTTTTCCTTTGTTAAACCATTTCACTTAGTACTCTGCAGTTTTGCGTTTAATCATTTTATGTGTGTTAGGTCTGTCCCCTTAACTGGGTAAGGAGTCCCTTGATAATCAAGTCTTTACAAGACTTTCTTTGCATTTCCACAACACATGGCACAGTGCACAGCAGGTGCTCCATAATAAAATAGGATCATGGCATTTAGATATGGAACAGATCTTAACGATGTTTAGTCATTTTCAGTCCAACTCTTCATGAACCTTTTTGGGGTTTTCTTAACAAAGATACTGGACTAGTTTTTTTTTCTTTTTTTTTGCAGGGGGGTGTGCCTAGGCAATGGGGTTAAGTGATTTGCCCAGGGTCACACAGCTAGTAAGTGTTATGTGTCTGAGGCCGGATTTGAAGTCAGGTCCTCCTGAATCCAGGGCTGGTGCTCTATCTACTGTGCCACCTAGCTACCCTGATACTGGACTAGTTTTGCCATTTCCTTCTCTAGCTCATTTTACAAATGAGGAAACTGAGGCTAACAACGCTAAGTGACTTGGTCAGGGTCACACAGCTAGTGTTTAGGGTAGGACTTGAACTCAGGTCTTCCTGACTCCAGGCCTAGTACTCTTTTCACTGTACCTCCTAGCTGCCCTAAGAAGAGACCTTAAAGATCATCTAATTCATTAACTTTGTGTTCACTAACTTAAAAAAAAATCAATAATTGCTTTTCATCATAATTGATTTTCTTTGTAATCCTATGTACTTTATTGTATGTTTAAAAACATTACTCTGAGAAAGGTCCATAGATTTCACCAGACTGCCAGAGGGGCCCATGACCAAAATAAAAAATAGTTTAATATCCCTTGATCTAGTCTAGTTCTATCATTTTACAGAAGGAAATGCTGAGGCCCAGAAAGAAGTCCCTCAGCCAAAGTCACATGGGTAACCTAAGTTTCTGATGCCAATCTCAGGGTTCTTTTACCATACCACCAACTCTTCAGAAGTTAAATGGGACAATATGTTGACTAACAGAAGTGGGGTAGCTGATAAAGTGCTAGTTTCAGCATCAAGAAGACCTTGGGTGGGGCAGCTAGATGACACAGTGATAGAGCACCAGCCCTGGAGTCAGGAGGATTTGAGTTCAAGTCCAGCCTCAGACACTTGACACTTACTAGCTGTGTGACCCTGGGCAAGTCACTTAACCCCATTGCCTGGCCAAAAAAAAAAAAAGACCTTGGTTCTAATTCTGCTACAGATACTTAATAGCTGCGTGACCTTGAGTAAGTCATTTAACCAATGTGAAAAATGATTTTTCTTAGTAATCATTATCTTGGAAACTCAGAGCTTCTCCCCAACCTCCTTCTTTCAAAGTATATTTTTTCTTCAGAAGGACATTTCTGATAATGAGATGGTGTTGAGTCTCCTTACCCTGGTCAAACCCCAACCCAAGCCTGAATTGATTTAATCAAAGGTAGGGAAGTTCCAGTGTTCTGCTCAGGCTTGGGTGGAGACAGATTCTTCTGTGTAGATAGCCCAAGGCTGGGAGTGGTTTGGTATGGTTAGGGAGTGGTCTGATAAAAAGATATTTCCTCTGTCCAGAGGTAAAATGGGGTGATATCAACCCTTGTTGAAAAGGCATATAAACTGGGTACCTCAAACCCCAAATCGATCCCAGTTCTAAACTGGCTCCCTTAGGGGGGCTCAGTCTTTGAAGGCAGCTTTGCATGCATGCTACCGGCTTGAGAGAAGTAAAAACATGGACTCAGACAACCTAATTTCATTTGTCTTTCTTAGATCAAACTCTGCCAAGTTGACACCTAAGACTCAGGTTCCCTGTTCTGTAAAATGAGGATAATAACACCTCCTCCCTCACAGAGAATCTCCTTGCAAGGATCAAAAAAGATAATGTATTGACTGTTAGGCAGTGCCAAGGACCAGACTCTGGCACCTGTACTCTACCATCCTTTCCATATCTTTCTCAGGGGGTGATAATCAAATCAACATTACCTTTGCACTACTAAGTATGTGACAATCTACTCCCCTACGGCTGTCTTTAGTATCCTTGCCCTTCTGAGCTGTAAGGTGAGCCAGGCCAAAGTTCTTTTTTTCATCACCACCTTTCCTTGAACCTATCCAGGTTCCCATCCCATCCGTCCGTTGTACCCTATCCCATCCTTCCGTTGTGGCCTCTGGAATCCCTGTTCTATTTTTAAGAAGTTGCCCTTCATATTAGACCTGTGCCTTTGATTCAGAAATTATTTTGTATTTATTTTTATGTAAATGTACTTTATGCAATGGCTACCATTTACCTAGGGCTTGAATGCTTACTAAGTGTTTTACACACGTTAAATCATTTTTATCCTTGTAACAGCTCTGCAAAGAGAGGTGCTATTGTTGAAGTTTAGGGGTTCTGGGACTCCAAAATCACAACTTGTGGGTCCTGACCAAAAGAATTAGACCCAAGCCTTCTTTCAGCCAAAGACAAGGCTTATTAGAACAGCTGTCATATTGGGCAGACTCTTAAGGAATCTGAGCTGTGGCTAGATTTTAAGAATCTCAGCCCCTTGATAGAGACAAGGTGGACCTCATATACAGAAAGACTGTGGGAGGGATCTAGGTGCGGCCAAGTAGTTTGAGGTGACTGAAGGGGGGGTCCAAGGAGGATCTGGATGGGACCAGCCAGTAAACTGGGGTGAACAGAATGCCTGGAACCTGGACTACATGGCCAAGGGAGAATGGAGTCTAGCTAGGATTAGGGCTAGGCTAGGTTAAGGGTAACAGAATTGGGAGATTGGGAGTAGCCACAATGAAAGGCCATTTGATAGGATTATAGCCTCAGGGGACTGCCAGAGATTTGGCGGTTTTTTCCTTTTTAGGGTCCAGATCCCAACCCCATCATTATTATTATCCCCCATTTTACAGATGAGGAAACTGAGACAGATAGAGTGACTTGCCCAGAGTCCCATAGCTAGTAAGTGTCTAAGGCAGGATTTGAACTTAGATCTTCCTGCATCCAAGTCCCATTCCCTATCCACTGGGTACATATTGCTTTTCCTCAATAAAATATACACTCTTTAAGGGTAAAGACTGTTTCATTTTGTCTTTATATCCACAGTGTCTGGCACAAAGTACCCACTTAATAAATGCTTGTGTCAAACTTGACACAAGTTTGCTTTGCAAACTTGAAAGTGTGATGTTAGCTATTATTATTAACTCTTTAAGCTGCTTCCCCCCTCCTTTAAGCTGCTATTTGTAAAGCACTTTACCTGCTATAGAAATTCTAATCATTATTATTATTTCTCTCTAAAGCCTTAGTGATGAAAAACAAAGCAGTAGTAAATGACAAACACATTCATTTTAAGGACAAGTTTTTTTTCCCTCCTTAACTTAATAGATTAAAATAGATGTCATCCTTAAAAACAAAAAGAAAACCTCAAATAAAGTATCCCACATCATAACCCTGTTAAGGCTCTGAGAGCTCTCCCACTTCTGCCTCCTCTCAGGGAGGAGAGGTCCCTGAATATCCAGTGACTGGCAGCAGGAATTAAAGAGTACAGAAGGTTCAGTGGAGTTATTCAGGCTCAAACGGGTCTTCTCCTGTTCTCTTGGGAGTAACAGTGGAATACCACATTGCATCATGGACTTTGCCAATCTAGAACACATCCAGAGAAAGGTTAAGTATGATTTTAGAATGGCAGAGGGTCTTGAAACCACATCACAGGGGAACTCCTGGGCATTTTTAGTCCAGAGAAGATAAGACACAAAGGCTATATGTGATAGGTACCCTTAAATATCTGAAGGGTATTCATAGAAAAGAAGGATATGATGTATTCACTGTAGTTTCCACAGACAGAACTAGGATTAGTGGCATGAGTGTGCTGGTAAATGTTTAACTGGCTGCCCCTTCCCCCAAATGTAGGAATGACACACTTTAAGATTCAATTTGCATTAAAATTTTCTCCATTGCTTCTTGTGTCTGGACAATCAACAAAACAATAAATCGAGCCTCAGTTTGTAGGGTTTGCTGATTTCCAAGGTGTAAACGTGCACGTTGAAAATTTAACAGTGGGGAAGAGCTGGCTCCACCATGTCCAGACAGTGGGTAGAAGGTACAGTGATCTTTCTAATGGGTGGAGCTGTCTGAAAAGGTAATGGTCAAATGGTGAGACCGGCTGGTGCCTGGAAGTGTTCAGGCAAAAGCTGGTACATTCAGCATGACTAAACAAATTCAGGCTTCAGGCAGAGGGCGGATCTTAGAGGATCTCCCAGGCTGTTTCCTGCTCTGAGGTTCTGTGATTCTCTGAGGCCCTCAGGTGGTCACTTGGGAGAAGCTGTGGGACCACAGAAAAAACTCATCTGGGAAGAAAAGGTAGTCTGCTGCAGCCAGGAGGAGATTACATTCAAGGCAGAAAGAGAAACTTTATTATTTTTAAAAATATTTATTTAAAGCATTCAAATTTTAAAATTTTGAGTTACAAATTCTCTCTCTCCCTCTACCCCATCCTCCACTTTTTGAGAAGGCAAGTAATATGATGTCAGTTATACAAATGAAATCATGCAAAACATATATCCATATTAACCTTGTTGCAAACCACAACCAAAAAAAAATCAAGAAAAATTTTTAAAAGTGAAAAAATTATGCTTTAGTTTGCGCTCAGAGTCCATCAATTCTCTCTCTGGAGTTGGATAGCATTTTTCATCATGAGTCCTTTGGAATTGTCTTGGATGTTGTGAAATAGAAACTTTCAATAAAATCAGAATGATTTCTTCTTACAGACCTGTGAAGCTCCTGAAGTGCCTGGACTATCCTGCCCATGCTGACTGCATCTTTAATTCGTAAGTCATCCTCTGACCCCTAACCAGTGCCACACCTACCTAAGAAAGTTGGGAGTTAGGGTTTACACTGTACTTTTTGCATGATGAGGCAGGAAGAGCTCTGTACCTGGAGTCAAGAGATCTGGGTGCGAATTCCACCTCTGACATTGCTAGATGTGTGATACAGGCAAGTCCTTTCAACTCTCCGAGCCTCAGTGTCTTCAATTGTAAAATGGGGACAATGATACTTGCAAGTTTATGTGTGTGTGTGTGTGTGTGTGTGTACATGTGCATATTTTGTTGTTGTTTAGTTGTGTCTAGCTCTTCATGACCCCATTTGGGGTTTTCTTGGCAAAGACACTGGAGTGGTTTGCCATTTCCTTCTCCAGCTCATTTTACAGATGAAGAAACTGAGGCAAACAGGGTGAAGTGATTTGCCCACAGGGTCACACAGCTAGGAAGTGTCTGAGGCTGGATTTGAACCCACAAAGATGAGTCTTCTGCACTCCAAGCCCAATATTCTATCCCCTGTACCACCTAGCTGCCCATTTTGCTGTCATTGTGCAGTCATTTCAATCATGCCCAACTCTTAGTGACCCTATTTGGGTTTTTTTTGGCAAAGAAAAAAACTATAAATACATACATACACACACTATACAATATACATATATACATATACCTAATATACACACATACATATATACATGTGTTATATATGCACATATACATATGTGCCTAGATATAATGTGCTTTGAAAACTTTCAAGTGACATAAAAACATCAGCTATTGTTATTCTTTTTTAATTGAAACAAGACTTGGAACAGTTTTTCTTGTTTCCTTAAGAACAGCAACAACAATAAACCACGAGCATGGTGCTGTGGACCTAGAGATGGATTTGGAACCTGGAGATGAGTTTGAATTGCAGTTCTGCTACTTACCATCTTCGAGCCTTTGGGCAAGTGAGCTTCTCTGGGTCTCAGTTTCCATATCTATAAAATGTGGCAGTGGGCCCAGATGGTCCCTAAAGTTCCTTCTAGCTCCAATGCTCTGACCAAACATGAGATTTTGGATGATGTGTCCTCCTCCTCAAGCTACTGAAGGAAATGGAGGAACAAAGATTAAAATGGCTTTACAGAAGCTTCATGGCATATTCACTGGAAAATCAAGACCACCATGCCCACCTGGCAGGTCATTTTCTATCTTCAACCCTCAGATTCCTCATCTATGAAACTGGGGTTGGACTAGATGACCTCTGAAGTCCTTTCAGTTAGAAATCTATGATCCTGTCCCATGATACACAAAAATCTTAAAATGACAGTATACATCTTGATTTACTAAGATGAGTTCGTTTCACAAAGAAATTATTCACTTTATGAAAAGATTTTCCAAAATTTATTTTAAATTGGGTAATTTGTCTTTAAAAAATCAGTTTATAGGGGCAGCTGGGTGGAGCAGTGAATAAGAACACCAGCGCTGGAATCAGGAGGACCTGCGTTCAAATCTGACCTCAGACACTTGACATTTACTAGCTGTATGACCCTGGGCAAGTTGCTTAACTGCAGTTGCTTTGCCAAAAAAAAAAAAGTAGTTAAAAAAAATCAGTTTATGTAACGCATATATTGTATAAAGCAAAGTAATCTTGTGCAAGTATTTGTCACGTGAATGAGAAACCTCAGGAGGTAGATGGGGTACAAGTAAAAGCTGATGGTGGGCTCTGCCTTGTTTCCTGTAGCTGAGGTATCAGGCATTCCCAGACAGAGCCAGGATAGCTCAATAGAAGTGTTTCAATGGCAGCATTAGATTCATCAGCTAATAGATTTCTATTAGTATTTATTTCATCCTGTACCTTAAAATTTCCAAGGTCCAAGCCTGTCCTTCGAAACAGAGTTCCTATTGGCCAACCTCTCCCTGCGGTTGGGAATAGAGGCAGGATAGACTTTTCTTTCTATACCAGCTGACCTATGGCTTTCTTTCCTTTTGTATTTTCAGAGCGGCAGAGTCAACGCAACAAAGATTCCCATCTCTTTTTGGAGGAAAATGGGACCCCAGCCTTATGTTTTTTCTTTTCCTGACACTGGCTTCAGAAATTCAACTTTAACTTCTTAATGAAATGAGAGATTTTCTGAGAGTGATCCACCCCTAAAAGAGACTTTAGGACTGGACTGGGCCCCTGCACAAAACCATTGATTTCCTTTTCATAGCAGATAATAACTTATTGGGAGTGACAATAGCCTATAGCTTTGTATTACCCTTCCCCATCCAAATAATTACTCTCTAAATCATGGAGGTTTTAGATGCCTCAATTAATATACAGACATTTCCAGATTTATTTTTTACTTTTTACTTTTTCAAATAAAATTTGTTATTTTTCTAGCTATATGAAGTAATCTTGTGGTAATTTGGTATAGCACTGAAAAAGTAGATTAACTTGGATAGTACTGTAATTTTATTACGTTGGCTTGGCCTACCCATGGGCAATTAATAGTTATGTCTCCAGGTGTTAAGATCTGTCTTTATTTGTGTAAAGAGTTTTGTAGTTACGTTCATATAGTTCTTAGATAGATCTTGGCAGGTAGATTTCCAAGTATTTCATATTTTCTGTAGTTATTTTAAATGGAATTTCTTTTCTATCTTTTCCTTTTGCATTTTGTTGGCAAAATACAAAAATGCTGTTAATTTGTGTATATTTCTTTTATGTCCTGTAAATTTACTGAAGTGTTTTCATTTTTTAATTCAATTTTCCAGAGTTTCCTAAGTCAATCATCATATCCTAAGTTAAATTTTAAAAAGATATGGACAAAAGATGAAAGCTAGGGCAGGTAACTCAGAATGAGCCCCCACTGGTGAGAAAAGTCAAGGATAACAAAAATGTGGTTTTGGGGAAAGGAGGAATATGAAAAAAAAGGATAGAGTCAGTGCTTAGGTTACTAGGAAACCCATAGGACAATGATTCAAGAAAATTGGAGGCAGTGAGATTTCATGGACTTAGCTTCTTAAGCTAACCCTTCCACCCACCCTTACCCCTTTGAAAGAGACTTGCAGTTAGAACAACCAGGAAGAAATGGCAAATGGGAGGATGGGAGAAGATAATTGAAAGCAATTGTACAGATGACGTGCTAAGTTGGAGGAGAGGTTGGGAAAGATCACATTCAGAGGCTATTTGCTGACCAAGGATCTATAGAAAACCCATGTGTTGCCAACCCAGAGTAAGTAAGGAGGGGAATGGTAAATGTTCTTCTCTTCCTTCTCCTTCTTATTTCCATTTCTCTAACTCAGAGAAAGCAAAACTCTCTGGAATTAGTTAATTCCATTATGTCTGTAATCCATGTTTCCCTTAAATGTTTACATTTCTAATGCTTCTAACCTGTGATAAAAACATTAGCCAACATAAATTCCAGCTCATTGTTGTATATTAATTAGTGTTCATGTATCTAGGTGAAAGGATGGGGTGTATGGACAGGTAGAGTTTCCTTTTCAGAAATGAAAGACTTAGAGATGTCTAATTGAATTAGGCTGGGAGCTTGCAGTTAAAGTTCAGACTCACTGAGGGACAAAGTGGGAAGACTGGAATTATACTTGGCACACCTAATAAAGAACTTGAAACTAGGGCAAACAGTAAAATTTGAGTCTATTAAAAAAAATCCCAGAATAAGCAATGTTGGGGAAGCCATGTTGGTACTCTGATTTTGAAAAGAAAACCATGACTCTATGAAAAGAGGAATAAGGAAATTCCCAAGCATGCTCAGACAGGACCTCTGGCTCAGGGCACTAAGAACATCTCAGACCGCTGGCACTTGGTGGCTTATACTTGACACAGAGAAGGTAAAACTCTATTTAAAAAAAAATAATTTTTTTAGCTTTCAACATTCACTTACACAACCTTTTGAGTTTTAAATTTTCTCCTCCTCCCCTCCTGCCTCCCTCCTCCCTCCCTCCTCCCTTCCCTTATATATCTGATATAGGCTGTACATATACATTCCTATTAAACATGTTTTCTCATTAGTCATGTTGTAAAGAAGAATTAGAACCAGTAGAAAGAACCACAAGAAAGAAGAAACAAAAGAAAAGAAAAGAAAAAAAAAAGAGCAAATAGTGTGCTTTGATCTGCATTCAGACTCCATTGTTCTTTCTCTGGTTGTGGATAGCATTTTCCATCATGAGACTTTTGGAGATGACTTAGATCCTTGCATTATGAGAAGAGCTAAGTCTATCAAAGTTAGTCACTGCACATTGCGGCTGTTACTGTGTACAACTTTCTCCTTGTTCTGCTCACTTTACTCAGCATCAGTCCATATAAGTCTTCCCAGGTTTTTCTGAAATCCACCTGCTTACTATTTCTTATGGAACAATAGTATTCCATTACATTCATGTACCACGACTTGCTCAGCCATTCCCCAATTGATAGGCACCCCCTCAATTTCCAATTCTTTGCCACCACAGAAAAAGCTGCTATAAATATGCATTTTTTGTACATCTGGATCCTTTTCCCATTTTTATGATCTCTTTGGGATGCAGCCCTAGAAGCAGTCTTTACTGGGTCAAAGGGTATGCACATTTTTAAAGCCCTTTAGGTATAGTTCCAAATTGCTCTCCAGAATGGTTGGATCAGTTCACAACTCCACCAACAATGCATTAGTGTTCCAATTTTCCCACCTCTTCGACAACATTTATCATTTTCCTATTTTGTCATTAAAACTCTATTCTTACTTGATTTTTTTCCCCCAGCAAGAATGATCTTGAGGCAGAACTAAAATGGCTAGCATAATGTTGACACCTATGCTACATAGTGAAATAGTTAGAGAAATTGCTAAATTGAGAATTGAGAAATTCATGTTCAGTACCATGCCCCAGGTACTGAAAGGATCAGCAGATACAACAACTAAGCCATTGGTAGTGATCTTTGAAAACTTAAGGGAAATAGGAATGTTGCTTCAAGACCAGAAAAAGACAAAAAGAGAAAATAATGGAGTCTACAAACTATAGACCAGAGAACTTGACTTAGATTACAGGAAAAAGTTTAGAACATGTTATCAAAGGGACAGTTAGAGAACATTTAGAAATGTTACAAAGAGGGATGAGTGGAACAATAATGGGTAAGGATAGCTGGTCATGATGACAGGACAAAAGCTTTTCTTGGCTTTAAGAATAAGTTATGCCAAATTAATCCATTCCTTGGACTTATAAACATGACTAGGTCTCTGTTCTTTTTTTAATCTTTCACTTAGGAAGAATAAACACGTATACAGTTGGGTACAGAAGTACATTTCATTCATTCAACAGGGAAATAGGAGGGAAATATGAGAAAGGTAGAAGGAGAATTGGAGGATGTTAGATTAAGGGAGGGATCAGTCCCAGGCAAAGCAAGCTGTAACTGAGGAGGTACAAAATATTTACGTCTCTTTTGAGGTAACAAAGACTGGAAATCTGAGAGAGTGCTCATAAACTAAGGAACTGGTGGACAATTTATGGTATATAGATATGATTGAATATTATGATCTCATAAGAAAAGACAAAGGTGGTGTGGTTTCAGATAAACCTGTAAAGATTTATATGATCTGATACCAAGTGAAGTGAACAGAATCAGAAGAAATGTTTACACAATGACAGCAACTTGGTAAAGGCAAACAACTTTAAAAGAATTAGGAACTCCTATTAGCACAAAAAGCAATCAGTATTCCAGAGGACAAATGATAAAACATACTACCTCCTGATAGAGGTGAAGGACTCAGTGCAGAATGAGACAAATAACTTCTTTAGACATGGCCAGTGTGGACATTTGTTTTGATTGACAATACATGTCTGTAATAGGGTTTGTTTTTCCTTAATACTCATCCATTGCCTGCTCCTCTCCCCCATGCTGGATTGGGGGGAGGGATGGGTGAGAGGGCATATTTTACTGATTGAAAAAATAAAATGTAATTTAAATAATAAAAATCTTTCACTTGACCCCAATCCACTAAAGGTATCATCTTATGTCTTTGTTCACCACCAAGCCAGCAACCAAGAAAGAGCCATCTTTATGTTCATCCTAACTTGTTGCTTCTACTTCCTCACTTCCTAATCTTATCAAATTTATCCAGCTCTTGCAATTCAACATGTCTGAATTGAACTTATCATCTCTACAAATTCCCCCCTCCTCCAAATGTGTCTTTTTGTATTGAGGGCACTATCATCATATGCCATAATTGTTCAGCTATTCCCCAGTTGATGGGCACCCCCTTAGGGACCAGTACTTTGCTGCCACAAAAAGAGCTGCTGCAATATTTTTGCATATATGGATCTTTTTCTTGGTGGTATAGGGAAGTAGGCCATTTTGGAAGGAGTGTAGTGCTTGAGGGGGAACAAGGTGAAATTCATCTGCAAAAAACAAATTGGAGACTGATTTTGAAGGAACCTCTATATCCAATGACACCAAGACATAGCTATATCTCAGTTAAGAAAAGAAAATTGACACCACACAGAAAACTTTTGCCCATAGAACTTTAAACATGCACTTTGAGCTTTTATTCAAATAGCCAGTCTGTGAAGGTTTTTTTTGTTTAAAAGGTAGAAAAGTTCTCCTGCTGAACTGCTGGTGGAGAGAGAGGTAGGAATTTCACTCCTTCTCCTCTATCCCACCTCCATCTTTGGAAGTGAGTGTCTCCATCTTTTTAATCACTCCCATTCTGCTCCCACAGATGGGACCTACCCTCTAGTTACTGATCTGTGCTCCACTCCACAGAGATGTTTCTCTGAGCTTACCTGGAATAGAACAATGAGGGAGGAACTAACAGTGAGAAACCCCACAAGCCCTACTACCAGAAAGTGTGAATAGGCATGCCACATTCCATGAGAAGATGTCCTTTTGTCTCCAAACTATGGCTCACTTGTGTAATCTCATCAGGTAGATTGGGGAACTATTTCAAATGATTAATGATTTCTCTGATAACCCCAACTTACAGAGAAGTTAAGTGACTTATGCTAAGTCACAAATCTAGTAAGTAGCAAGACAACTCAGGGCATCTGACTTTAAGCTCTTTCCTCTTTGCAATTACATCATCCTGATATCACAGTAATATGGTTAGAAATTATGATTCCAGAGGACTGAAGATGAAGTGTGCTACCTACCTCTTTATAGAGATGTGATAGATTCAGGATGCAGAATGAGACACATATTTTTGGATAGGCCAGTATCATTTATGCTTAACAATGTATTTGTTATAGGGGTTTTTTTTAATTCAATAGGGAGACGGAAAGGAAAGAGGGGGAGGAGAGAGAGAGAGAGAGAGAGAGAGAGAGAGAGAGAGAGAGAGAGAAGAGAGAGAGAGAGGAGAGAGAGAGAGAGAGAGAGAAGAGAGAGAGAGAGAGAGAGAGAGAGAGAGAGAAGAGATGCTTG